GGGGGGGGAGAGACACTTCTTCCTTTCATCTTAAAAAGCACATTCCACCAGAAGAGATCTACACAAATATGCTTGTTGACAGAGGATCTCTTCTTTCATTTCTGCACATGGCAGCTTCTTCTACACATCCTCCCATTGCCCCATTCAGAGCAGCATTACCTGCAGCTCCATAATGACTTACAGTTTGTAAACACAACTAAGTTGTCCTGGCTATTCCTCTTGGCTTGATCTGCTATAGGATAGAGGGACAGAAGAGATCTACACAAATATGCTTGTTGACAGAGGATCTCTTCTTTCATTTCTGCACATGGCAGCTTCTTCTACACATCCTCCCATTGCCCCATTCAGAGCAGCATTACCTGCAGCTCCATAATGACTTACAGTTTGTAAACACAACTAAGTTGTCCTGGCTATTCCTCTTGGCTTGATCTGCTATAGGATAGAGGGAAGGCTGCACATTGATACTTGCCGGCCATCATCTGTGCCTTCCATAACCAAGAATGTGTAATCCCTCCTTTGCCATTTGCTGCTGGAGTCTGTGAAGAAGATTTTCCTCCCATCCCGAGTCAACGTCAGATCATTCAGAAAGGACATTTTCTGACCTTCAACTGGTTCCTTGGTTGACACTAGTGTTTTCACATTACCTGAGGATAAAATATAATTCAAATCAATGTATAAATAAAAATAAAGAGACTTATCTTTCCATACCAATACTTTAAACCCTAACACATTCAGGTAGGTGTTACATTGGCCGAGCATCTTTTCAAACCTCCGAAGAGCATTATATACCATTTTGAATGTTTACAATTTTAAGCTGTCAGTCTGACATTTTATCAAACCACTTTCACTGCATGCACAGAAATGGTAATGATGAATAGTGTTAATAATTGTGTAAGCTTTTTAAAAGTTAGCTTAAGCAAGAAATCAGTTCTAAATGTACTTGAACAAAGTTCTTTTGCATTAAAGGGATCAGATACCGCTGACAGTTTCACAAAGGAGTAGGTTTTCAAACCTACTGAACCCCTAATCTACTCAATGCATTTTACTTGTTAATTTCCAAAAATGAATAGAATAAATTTAGCTGCAATCACGTTTCTGGTGGAGTGTAAACGAAGGGAATATAAATCTTACCTTGGCTAGAAAGCTAAACACAACCTTTACTTTGAAGTCACTGCTGACAGACCCAAAATATGCTCTTATTTTGCAGGAGATTTAGGTATGTCGTGTAAATCAAAGGAAGGAAGACTGAAATATGTTTCTTTCCAGAAATTCCCCCTCTCCCACCACTAAAAATTAAACATACAGATGTAAATCATGTGCTGGGTTTTGGAAGCTCTTCCTGTGTAACTTTCACAGGTCTTTGTACAAATTTTGTATCGGGGAAGGAAATGGAGAGAGGGGTTTTGTTTAGTTGATCTTTGGCAAGTCACTGAAACACAGGGTAAGACTAAAGTCTTTTACATGGGAGAAGCTTCACGCTGTAGAGAGCCACACAGTACAAGTTTTTATAATGTATTTTAATTTCAAGTTCAAACTCGGGTCTTGATCCTTCAGCTGAATCCGTGCAGGCAGACCACTGCACCCCGCCAGCACCTAGTGCAGGACAGGGAAGATTTCAGATCAGCACTGGTCTGGGACTTAGGAGACCCACATTCAAGGCTCCATTCGGTCAGAACCCCAAGTGAAACCTTGGCAAGTTATTTAACGCCTCTGCCTTAGGTCCCCACCTGTACCTCATGTTGGGGGCAAAGGGGGCGCAAGGGTAAATGCATTAAGGACTGTGAACTGCTCAATACTAGAAGAGGAGAGGTACTATGCTTTGGCTTAGATAAATAGAGTACTTAGAGCTAGGGATGAAACGCAGGGGGCAGAAGCTGAGTGCTTTCCAGAAGGGAAGCATTGGCAGCTTTCTTTATGGGAATGGAAATAGGAGGCACACAATGGTGATGTAACTGGGGCAAAGCCACGGAAGTCAAGTAGAGCCAGGAAGAGAACACAAGCTGCCTGCCACCTCAGTGGCCAGGCCTGGGGGGGGGGGGGGGGGGGGGGGGGGGGGGAGAAGGGGAGAGAGAGACACCAAAACAAACCTGTGACTGGATCAATTTCATATAATCCGTAATAGGCATCTGCCACAAACAGGGTATTTTTTGGCCCAACTCTGATGCCAAGAGGTCTCCCACAGGCAGGCTCATCTTCTCTGGTTCCTTTTGAGACAATTTTACAGCTGTTTAGGCAGAGCAGTTTGTATAGTTGGTATTAAAGCCATTCCAGAAAAGAAATGTAATACAACAAGACTACATTGGCAGCCCCCAGTCACATTTCTCCAATGGGGAATGAATATTAACGACCAATGAATCAGAGCTGCTTGACGCTTCGCGTTCAGACTGCCCTTTATTGACTAGCCTAGCAAGGAACATCAACCACTCCTCACCGCGGGAGTTGATCATTTTTCAAATTTTTTGTTTTGACAGAAGCTTTGAGTTTTGATTAAACAAATATTGACAAAAACTGTCTTCTCAAACATGGTGGTCTTTTTTTAGCCAGAAAATCCCCAAGCCGCAAGTATTCTGGTTCTCTGATAGTCAAAAAATTCTGTTGAGAATAATAAAAAGACAAGAGACTTTTCTCTGAGCAACCCTAACCTCAGTACTTCTGAGAGCTAACACATTCTCCTTTAGAACAAGCAGTGAAGATCTGTGTTCTCAAAGCAGATATTGGCACAACCACCTTTGTTGTGTCTACGTGGCTTAGCAATTGACTATAGTGATTTCATATGCATATGCAGCTGAAATCACGGCAATTACATTAGTTTAGATGTTACAATGTATATTCCATTAGCTGGCAAATAATGAAGACAAGCGTGGCACTAGCACCGTGTGTTAGTAATACCTGGTTTTACTAGGTTACCTCAAACAGCACTGAAAATGTTGTGAACAAAGTAGTAACGTACATGGGGATAGCAAGCAAGTTTACCCCGGCAAGTTTGCCTTCTAATAAAAGATTAAAGTAGAAAATTACTACAAGCAAGTCACACACTGTATTTTATTAAACTTGTTTTTCAAAAGCGCCACAGGGCGGTTGCTGCTATTTAACATTTACCCTGGGACCGCTTCACTTGTTTACTCTAACACCAGTGCTACCATGGGACTCTCAGTCGCAGTTTGAGTTCTCTCCTTTTGCGACGCAAGTAACAGACCGGTCTGCTAAAACTCCACGCAGCATGTCAGCTGCGTAGCAATCAGCAGGGATCTGAACGTTTACCTGGTTCATCGGGGCCCCATCCTGGCCAGAGCAGCCCCCATCCGCAGTGGGATGGGGTCATTGCTCCAGCCCAGCCGCCTCCTCACCTCCATTTAATTGCTCAACATACCGTTTCGCTGGTTAAATAATTAAAAGGTGAGCCTGACTTCTAGGACTGTAAAATCCCGATGGCAGCAAGTGGGGGGGAATTGGGGGGGACAGAGAAGGCAACTGTCACAGGGTCTGGCAATTCTAAAGGGCCTGGAGCCCTGGGCCCTTTAAATCACCCCCAGAGCGCCACACTGCACACTCCGAGGGGCTCTGAGGGCTGGGGGGAGGGCAATGTGGTGCGCTCCTGGCGGCGCCAAGGGCTGCCCCAGCCCTGCCCTTCTGCATAAGGCCCCACACCTTCCAGGAGTGCAGACCCATGCTCACCCCTCCCAGCATGACTGTCGGCTCCCCTGCTAATGCCTCCGTAGAGGTCAAGGATCTACACAGCGATCCCATTAGGCCTGTCAGTGGGTACTGTGATTTGGGGGTGTTTAAATGCACTTCAAAACATCCCCCAAACTTCCTGGCACAGGCTGGAAAACACCTGCCTGCCTGTTCTTCAGGGCGTGTTTTTCGTCCTTAGTTTAACGATGAAAGGAAGTACCACAGCGGGCCTGATGCCTAGGTGGTCTAAACAGAGAGCTCTATTGACGTACTGATGTAGCTCCCCTGACAGGAATGGAGCTGTGCCATTTACACCAGCTCAGGATCCGGCCTCACGCGAGAAAGTGATGCAGAAAGGCGAACACAAAAGCCAGACTATTCAGCAAAAGGGCTACGATGCCGTCTCTCACCACACCGGGCCCAGGTAGTGCAGAGAATTCCCACTTGGCTTTTCTATGCATTTGTCTACACTGCAGTCCGGACTGCAGAGGCGCATCGATCAAATCCATCACTGACGGAGCCAGTTCACTAAAGTAACAATGGAACCACAGTAGACTAGACGAGCTGCCCAAACACAGTCCCGCCGGGGCGTCCGGCCTGTACCACTGCTGGCTCAATGAGTATGCTGCATTTGTGCCTCCTGACTGCAATGCAGGCATGCCCTAACACTGGCCCCATGCCTCCACCCCAAGTACAGCACTGAGAATGGAGTTTATTTGAAATAAATGCTCTATCTTAAAGGAATTTGAACTCAGACTCTGAGCCCCGCTTTCAAATTAAGCACTTTAAAGCGTGCACTACAGTACATGTGGGTAACGTGCAATTAGCACAATTTAAAAAAATTAAATTCACCAATGCATGCTTCACTCAACAGGTAAATGCAATTGCATGTCTCTAATCTGGGTCTATTGCACATGATGGGTGTCAGATTTTCAATAAATATAGGGAAAAGCAGCATGGAAAAATTAGTGTAATTACAAAATAGTCGGCTGCATCTTGCTTAATACAGGGCCATTCTAATTCATATAAATCTTTTCACATCTCTCCTTCAGACCATGTGTCTTATCCTTCAGAAGAAGGGAACAAAGATGGAGTCGGGAGTCACAGACAAGTCGCATGTACAAGCCAACTACTGCTAAGCCACAGCACTGGCCATAACCCCACCTTCAGAGGGAACGTCCACAGCCCCAACCTGCCTACGCACGTTGTGCCCTTTCTGGCTCGGTCTCCACAGGCAAGAGTTAGTGCAGCTGCACTGTCACTGTAAACAAACACAAGTGGGCT